GCAGCTGCTGCAGCTCGCCAGATCTAAGAATTGTTAGCGCTGGTCTGATAAACAGCGTATCATGACGACCTATGCTGACTTTGCCCATAGTCATCTCGATGGACAAACCAACCGACTTTGCTTCCGCGGAACACCGCACCTATATCAACTTTTCTAAAGCTGATTGGAAAGGCTTCGCGGAATTTACTGAAAGCACCTTCGCTGCGCTCCCCACACCAACCGACGTCCACCTTGGTGAACGTAAGTTCCGCACGGTTGTCACTGCTGCTGCAGCTCGCTTCGTACCGGATGCATTACGGACCCACGTCCAAATTTCCCTGCTGCAGCGGCTGTTATAGCCGACGAGCGTGACAGCCTTCGTCAGGCCGATCCCGGAAATCCTCGTATCAGGGATCTCAACGCGGAGATTCGGCTAGTGAACGTACATAAGCGAAAGAAGTGGGAAGAGCATCTGAAGACCTGTTACTTTACCTCTGTTGGGAGTAAGCTTGGTCAACCGTGAGGTTACAGTCCAATCCGACGAAGCACGACGACAGGGTCAAAATTTCTTTCGACGACCATGCTACGTCGGACCCGGAGCGATGCGCAAGCTATTTTAGCCGGCAGTTCATACTGCATCCTCCGGTGGACAAAGCCAAGCATCGAGTGACCAGAAGGTTGCACAAACTGCCAACAACTTGTGCCCCCCTTACCTTCACCAGCGGTGAAGTTCAGGTGGCCATAGGGAAGGCGAAAGCCTCCAAAGCCATGGGTCCCAACGGAATATGTATGTTTATGCTGAAAAATTATGGTCCTGCGGCAGTAGCGTACCAAACGGAGGTCCTCAATATGTCTATGGCCACTCTCATCATGCCAGACATCTGGAAGGTTGGGAGAGTGGTCCCACTGCTCAAATAGGGACAACCACCCAACAAAGGAGGTTCTTATCGACCGATAACACTCCTTTCTCTGGTAGCGAAGACACTAGAGGCCTTGCTGCTCCCGTTTTTCACAAACCACCTGACCCCAGCGAAGCATCAGCATGGTTTCCGTAAAGTGCACAGTACAACAACAGCACTTAACGTTATAAATACTCAGATAACATATGGCCTTAACCGCAACCGTGCCTGTGACAGAACTATTCTAGTAGGGTTGGACCTGTCAAAGACGTTTGACACTGTCAGCCACTCCACGCTATTAGAAGATATAGAGGATTCCTCTCTCCGACAGAGGCTCAAATGGTGGTCGGCGAATTATCTGAGTGGTCGACACTCGTCGGTAAAGTTTAGAGACAAATCGAGCAATCTTAGAAAAATAAAACAGGGGGTTCCACAGGGTGATATCCTTTCACCGCTACTGTTTAATTTTTACATTTCAAAGCTCCCTTAACCACCAGAGGGAGTCTCGATTGTCTCCTACGCCGAAGATTGCTCGATCATGGTGACTGGGAATGAAATTGATGACTTGTGTTCGAAAGCGAATGGGTATTTCTCCGAGCTTTCTCGCTTCTTCACTGCAAGGAGCCTAACCCTCTCCCCTACGAAATCCTCTGCGACCTTGTTCACCACCTGGACCAAGGAGGTCAGGCTACCGCTGGGAATTCACGTCGATGATACACTAATTTCGACGGTGAATAACCCCAAAATACTCGGAGTAACCTTCGACAGTCTGCTCTCCTTCTCTGCGCACGCAACCGCTATTGTCAACAAAGTACAGAGCCGCAACTAGGTCCTCAAAGTCGCTGACCGGCAGCACTTAGGGCAAAGACAAAGAAACGTTGCTGGCAACATACAAGGCAATAGGCCGGACGGTTTTAAACTACGCAGCACCAGTGTGGTCGCCGGAGACTAGTTGGACGCAGTGGATGAAGCTGCAGACAACTCAAAACACCGCACCACGGACAGCGACTGGATGCCTTCTGATGTCGCCCCAACACCATCTACACGACGAGGCGATATTGCTCCCGGTCAAGGAGATAACACCATGCTCTGCAAGCAGTTCCTTGTCGGGAGTGATACACGTGGTCACCCGAATGGACAGCTGTTTGCAGAAAAGCCCTTGCCCAGGCACGTCAGGAGGCATCTCTACGAACTAACGGACGAAGTCCTGAGGTTCATTAAACATCCTCTGGACCCGTCAGCATATCGGCAGGCCCTGAATGGCATTCACAGGTAGTCAGTCTCGAGCTATGTAGACTCCAGACCTGTGAATGCCGTTCTAGGCGCACAACCACCGGACATAGACGAGACGTAGCTTCATCGGCCTCGGCAGACAAGAACCACAATAGCCCAACTTCGCTCTGGCTACTGCAGCAGGTTAAACTCATACCTGAGCAGACTTAACGCATGCGGAGAGACACCTCGTGACTCGAAGCATCTCTTCGTATGCCCGGAAAACCCAACAACCCTAACGCTTTTGTCCCTGTGGACCGACCACATTGATGCTGCACGCTTCTTAGGGCTGCCGTTAGTGGAACTTGATGACAACGAGTGAGTTATTAACCGATCAGGGCGGGGTTGTTATAGCCGCTAAAGCAACAACAACAACCATTCATGGCATGATACCAGATAAAACGAGCTCAGCCCCTTTTAATATGCATAGCATTGGCTGAAATGCTATTGATAGCGTCCGCCATCATCAGGAGATGTCGCATTGTATTTATTAAACCCTAAGTTAAATAAGTATTTAACGGTCGCCGTGTTGTAGTGGTAGCAGTGTGCGCAACCATTCCGCACGGCCTGGGTTCAAGCCCGGTTTAACCCAACATGAATAAATATTTTTTTTGCTCTTTTGTAATCTAAAAGTGCAAGAAAACCCCACTTAAGTCACTGACTTATGTTGTTTAAGAAATGAACCTCTATACGCGGTATTATTTGAATAGGAAGGAATGTATTGGCATACGTGGTTCTTACCCAGGATTTGCATCTACAATTAAGGAAGCGTTTACAGCAAAAAACTTATGTTTGAAAAAAATTTGACATGTGTGATTTTTGAAATGGCCGATTGAATTCAAGGCACATAAATACAGGTAGAAGCCAAAATGATGTTGCTCTCATGAGAACCAAACCTTTAAACTTCAACTTGTTTTTCTTTTATTTCCTATATTTCGTTACGCTTTGAATGTCATATCGTTGTTTTTTTTTTTTTTTGAATGTTCGTTAATAACAAATTTTAATTAACATTTGAATTTTTGTAGTGCTGTAGAGGTGGGTAACTCAACTCAGAGTTGAGTTATTGAGTTGATTCCTATAAGTGAATCGGTAACTCAGACTCCCTGTCCAAAAAAAAAGTAACTCAGTAACTCAGTTGATGCCATAGGGCTCACATGAATCAATTGAATCATAGTGGCTCATATTTGTCCATATAACTCTCTCGCTTCGCCACAGTGTTTAGCATGGCAAAGTCTTGCATTTTGTTTTTGCACGAGGCGAATTTATACAAGGTGGTGGCAAGAATACAACAACAACAACCACATGTATTTTGTATTGCGGGTGCTATGTCAAATCTCACAAATTCTTATAATTTCGTTTTTTTTTTAGTTTTTCTCGAAATATGTATGTATATAAGATATATAAAGATATGCATATCAAATCAATTGCCTTTCCAACCATATCCACATTTTGAAATTCGGTACAATAGGTTTCGAAATATAAGCTTTTGAAAATATTGAAAATTCCACCTTTACCCTCCCCCTAGCACCGCCCTATTAATTTGCACACAAAAAAAATTACACCTTTCAAATCAGTAGAAAGGAGCTGACCACGCCCACTTTAAAGTTTTGTTTTATCTCAACGGCCGCTTTACCGCATTTATGCCTCAAAACGAGTCTACGATACGAATGAGTGTAACATACAAAGAGTCAAATGAGTTAGTTGAATGAGCTGACTCCTTAAAGTGAGTTGGAGTCATTGAGTCAACTCCTATAAATTTGCTGAGTTACCCACCCTTATAGTGTTGTGCAGTTTATACTTAATGTATGTGTTAAAAATGCAACACCGAAGCGTTGTTTTTTATGTGGTGTTAAATATAAAGCAGATACCATTTAACGTGCCTCAATGTCCTTCGCGTAAAGAGCGTTGCGAAAGCAGCTGTGGGACAGAGCTGAAGCGAAATGCCTTGCTGTGCGTTAAACATTTTAAAGCAGCAGATTTCATAAATGCACCGGGAGGTACAGGAAAGGCACGTTTGATGCCAAGTGCTGTTCCTATGACCCTTATGCCGGAAAGTCCCTCCAACAACACTGCAACTCATAAATTAAAAACATAAAACAACATACAAATTAACAAATTTTAACTAAAAAAATAAATAAATAGAAACAAAACTTCAAATTTACTCAAAAACGTCAACCAGCGAAATGTAATTTTTTATTTTTCCTTACACACGCTCATTTTTATTTTTACTCTCCCGAAAACTTTGACTTTTGTAGGTTCGATGTCAATTTGGCTTCTACCTGTTTTTATTGTACCATGGATTGAATTGTAAGCATCTATGTATGCTCTTTTCTTTTTTGGTACACTTCTCTTGGCCACTCAGTTGTTCCTAATAATTACAATTTTGTTTTAACATTTTTAATATACAAGGTTACATGTATCTGAATGTAAGTACATAAAATACTCGTATTTGTGTACATTCATAACATTTTTTTTTTTATATAAAACGGTAAATATTAAAAAGAAAAAATTTTGCATTAAAAAAGGCTTGAGTGCCAACAAACTATGCTAATCGAAAAATCGGAAAAATGCCAAAAATTGGCAAAAAAAATATTAATTTTTCATCTTTTGTTAGCTGCTCAACCAGCTGCCAGCTTAAACGGAGAACAATAGTCCGGTGACAAACTTTGGTATGATAGACAAATGCATTTTACACTATTTTTTGCACTGTTCCATTGTTAAAATTTCCATTCAATGAACGACAA